GCCTCCCGCCTTCCACCTCCCTCCTCCCTCCTCCCTCCTCCCGCGTCCCGCCTCCCGCCTCCCGCCTCCCGCCTCCCGCCTCCCACCTCCCGCCTTTCCTCCTCCCTCCTCCCCTCCTCCCTCCGCCCTCCCTCCTCCCTCCCTCCTCCCTCCTCCCTCCTCCCTCCTCCCTCCTCCCTTCAACCTTCCACCCTCCTCCTCCTCCTTCCTGCACCTGCTGCGGGTGCTGCACTCGTTCTTTGCTGCACTGCTTCAAAAATCCCTCGTTGTCGTGGGTCGCCCCCCCCCCCCTTGCCTCTGCAGACATCTGCCCGCCCCTGGGCAGACTGGCCCGCAACGGACCCTCGAGGTGGCATTGCAGCTTGCTCTCGCATGGCTTTCCGCAAACTTGATCGTCTTTTGGCGCCCAATCTCTAGGGTTCGAGCCGTCTGTCAGATGCTCCTCTTGCAGAGCGTAGCCAGGCTCTTGAAGGGGCCCAAGGACACACACAAACAAACAAACAGACACAGATCACAGGATTCCCCCCCCTTTTCCCCAGATCTTTTCTGGGCTCTCGTCCTCCCCCCCACTTCCCGTATCTTCCCACATCTTCCTGGGAGTCGGCGATTCTCATTATGTCTGTGTGGTCCTTCCCTCCTGAACTCTGGCTTCCTCACTTCGCCCCTGCTTCGCCCCTGGCCTGGCCCCCCGCTTCGGACCGGGGTGCGCGCACGCCCGTTGGGGTGCTGGGGCCTCCCGCCTCCCCTGCCTGAGCATCGTGCATCCGATCTACATCCCCAGCGCTGGGCCTCACTGGCCGATTTACACGCCCAGATGGGGACATGGGCCGTTCCCTTTGGGGTTCGATGGGGTGCATCCCCAACTGGGGTGGTAAATTAGTGAGGGTCTCGAAGGGGATGGGGATGGGGATCGTTGAAACGATACTGACTGTCTGTGAGCCGCTGGCGACCCTCGCTCGTGTTGTTGGCAAGCCCTGGCGAGCCCTGAAGGCTGCACATGCGGATGTGACGAGGTACATCCGCTGCGTGCCCCAGCTGTGTTTCAGGCATAACCTCTACACTCGTCCGAGCGGGCAGGCGGCGGAAGGGGCACAGTGGCCCCACGCGGTCCCGCCCTGCAGCGGAGAGAACGGTACCTGCCCCTTCCGCCGTTGCGTGCGCACGCGCGCGCCACCTCCGACCCCTCCTCTTCCACACTTCCTCTGCCACGCCTCGAGCGCGTCTCTTTATGTTCGGCGATGACGGGCGTCATGGGGGGGGGGGAGGGCGGGGGGGGGGTATGACGTGACGCCCCCCCCGCCGTGTGGCTCCGGCACCACAGCCGCGCCTGCGCGCACGACGCGACGAGCGACGAGCGACGACGACGACGCGAGCAGCATGTAAGGTGGCGATCTGCCCATTGCGCCTGTGTACACCACAACGCTCGCGTGCACCACACCGCGCGTGTGCACCACAACGCCTGCGTACACCGCAACAGCCGTGTGCAACGCACCGCCCGTGTATACCACAATACTTGGGAGCACTGCAGCGCTGGTGTACATACGCCGCAGCAGCCATGTGCAACACAACGCCTGTGTACACCACTGTGCTTGCTTGCACCGCAGCGCCTGTGCACGCCACAGCGCCTCTACACCACAGCATCCGCGTGCAACGCCGCGCTGGTGTACACCACAGTGCCTGCGTGCATAGGACAGGTAGAAGGAGCATGTACGTCAGGATCTGCTGCGGACAACTAAACGCCACGCCAGGAAAGTTCTGATAATCGAATGCGACGTTTTTCCCTCCTCCCTCCTCCTCCACCTTCTCCTCCTCCTCCTCCTCCTCCTCCTCCTGCTCTTCCTCCTCCACCTCCTCCTCCTCCTCCTCTTCCTCCTCCTCCTCCTTTTCCTCCTTCTTACCCCCTGTCGTGCGGTTTGGCGTTACAACGCACGTGCGCACTTCAGCGTGCACCGCAGAATGGTCGATTGAATCGATCCACTTGGTTCTCGGACGGCCAGTTTAGTTGGAGCCTCCTGGACGCAAATGGAGTTAGGGTGATGCGGGCGGACTCGGGGGGACTCGTAGATTCCAGCGGCGCGCCTTCGTCCATGAGGATTTGTTTTCCATTGTTTTCTCTGGAATCCACACGCGCTCCATTTTGTCACAAGGATTCCTTCTGAAATTCTATGCACAACAATGGTGCTGTGTTGCACACGGCTGATGTGGTGCACACACGCGCCGTGGCGTCCACAGGCACTGCACGCAGCATTGTGGTGTACACTGGTGCTGTGTTGCGCACGGCTGATGTGGTGTACGGAAGCGCTGTGGTGTACACAGGAGCTGCTGTGCCCGCAGGCACGGTGGCACAAACTGACGCTGTGTTGCACGCGGCAGCTGTGGTGTACATCGGCGGCGTGGTGTACACCGGCGCTGTGGTGCACGCGGGCAGTGTGATGTACGTAGCACCCCGCAATTGCGGATAAGAGTGAAGGGGCGGGCGCGGGCGACGCGGGCGTCGCCAAGCCGGCGGACCTCGTGGCCCCCATCTTCCCTGTCGATGGCGCTCTCCTCCTCCTCCTCCTCCGCCTCCTCCTCCTCCTCCTCCTCCTCCTCTTCCTCGTCCTCGTCCTCTTCCTCATCGTCATCGTCGTCCTCCTCCTCCCCCTCGTCCTTCTCCTCCTCCTCCTCTTCTTCCTCGTCCTCCCTCTCCCCCCCTCGTCCTTCCATCATCGTCCTCCCATTGTGGTCATGTTCCTCCTCGTCGTCCTCCTCTTCCCCCCCTCCCGATCCTCCCCCCTCCTCCTTTTCGTCGTCGTCGTCGTAGACGTCGTCGTCGTCGTCGTCGTCTCCTTCCTCCTCCTCCTCCTCCCCCTCCTCATCCTCCTCCTCCTCCTCCTCCTCTTCCTCCTCCTCCTCTTCCTCCTCCTCCTCCTGCAAGAGCAGCCCGCCGCAGGCGCCGAAAAATTTGGTTTGTACACTGAACGTGATTTGGGTCGCGGGTGGGCCGCGGATTCTCCACCGGGAACGAATGCAAAAGATGCCCGCCGCAGGCGCCGAAAAAATTGGTTTGTACCCTGAACGTGGTCGCGGGTGGGCCGCGGTCTCTCCACCTAGAACGAATGCAAAAGATGCCCGCCGCAGGCGCCGAAAAATGTGGTTTGTACTCTGAACGTGGTTTGGGTCGCGGGTTGGTCGCGAGTTGGTCGCGGGGTGGGTCGCGGGCTCTCCACCTGGAAGGAATGCAAAAAAAGCCCGCCGCAGGCGCCGAAAATGTTGGTTTGTACCTTGAACGTGGTTTGGGTCGAAGGTGGGTCGCGGGTGGGTCGCGGGGTGGGTCGCGGGTGGGTCGCGGGTGGGTCGCGGGTGGGTCGCGGGTGGGTCGCGGGTGGGTCGCGGGTGGGTCGCGGGTGGGTCGCGGGGTGGGTCGCGGGGTGGGTCGCGGGGTGGGTCGCGGGTGGGTCGCGGGGTGGGTCGCGGGGTGGGTCGCGGGGTGGGTCGCGGGTGGGTCGCGGGTGGGTCGCGGGTGGGTCGCGGGTGGGTCGCGGGTGGGTCGCGGGGTGGGTCGCGGGTGGGTCGTGGGGCGGGTTGCGGGTGGGACGACGACAACAAACAACAACAAACAACAACAACAACAACAACAACAACAACAACACCACCAACAACAACAACAACCACAACAACAAAAACAAACATCAACAACATTTGCACGACGACAACAAACAACAACAAACAACAACAACAACAACAACAACAACAACAACACCACCAACAACAACAACAACCACAACAACAAAAACAAACATCAACAACAACAACAACACCAACAACAACACAACAACAACAACAACAACAACAACAACAACAACAACTACAAACAACAAACAACAGACAACAAACAACAAACAACAAACAACAAACAACAACAACAAACAACAAACAACAAACAACACCAACAACAACAACCACAACAACAAAAACAAACAACAACAACAACAACAACAACAACAACAACAACAACAACAACAACAACAACAGCAACAACAACAACAACAACAGCAACAACAACAACAACAACAACACCAACAACAACAACCACAACAACGACAACAACAACAACAACAACAACACCACCACCGACAACAACAACAACAACACCACCACCACCACCACCAACAACAACAACAACAACAACAGCAGCAGCAGCAGCAACAACAACAACAACAACAACACGAATCCGCACCGCGGAATCCCACTTCAGCCACGCACCCAGGGACAGTGAATGACCGTTCGGCCCCCTCACTCTGACACAGGCGTTGTGGTGCATATCGCTTCCTACATGTTCGTGCTATCCGTCCTCCGTCATTCCTAAGCATTCCCAGACGCCGCCGGCGCGAAACGTGACGTCATCGACCCCCTCCCCCCCCAGATGATTGCCGTCATCGGCCCGGACTTAAAAACAGGCTCCAGCCGTGTCCGCGCGCACGACGACGAGCGACGAGCGACGAACCACGAGCGACGACGACGGACGACGACGACGACGACGACGACGACGACGACGACGACGACGACGACGACGACGACGACGCCTGCGGACCAGACACCTATGCGGATTCCTACGCGGACACCTACGCGGATCCCAATGCGCACGGCGGCAGTGCCCGGAGCGCACTGGGGGGGGGAGCGTTACGTCATAGGGGGGGGGGAGGCGGGGGCCATGACGCCCGTCATGCCTCAAGCAATAAAGAAACGGGCTCCTCCTCTCTCTCTCTCTCTCAGTCGGGGCGCCTTGCCTCCAGAGAGCTCGTGCGAGTGGTGGCCTCAGGGTAAGAAACAACACTTGCAGCGCAGAGCGAATCTCTCTCTCTCTCTCTCTCTCTCTCTTCCTGCGGATCCCCCCCGCTCCTCCGCCCTCCCCCCCTCCTCCCCCCGAGCCCTCCGCAGAGCTCCCGAGCCCCGATGGCCGCCGAAAGGCGCTCGGAGACACTCGAAGACTGCCGGACGGACCCCCCAGTGGGTCTCTCCAGGTGGTTGGTCGGCTCGTCCAGCAGCAGCAGGTGGGGATTCGCCAGCGACATGAGCGCGAAGACGACGCGCGCCTTTCAATGGGGCCCAGGGCCACACACAAATAGATACACACAAGCATCAGGATTCCTACTATTTCCCCCCTATGTCCTGGGCCTTCGTCTTCACCTCCATGTCCCGTATTTTCCGATCTGTTCCTGGGAATCGACGATTCATTGTGTCTGTTTGTGTTTCTCCCCTCCTGAGTCAGGAGGAGGCGTCGACCCAGCCCGGCCCCCGCTCGGCTGGTTCCGCAACCAGCTCCGCGCGGGGGGCGGGGAGGGGAGGGGGGAAGGGGGAGCAGCGGGAGCCCCCCGAGAAGGACGAGAACGACAAAAAGAAGAGCGGGGGCCAAGAACAGCACATGCTGGAGCCCCCCGAGAATGATGAGAACGTAAAAAGGGGGAGCAGCGGGAGCCTCCCGAGAATGATGAGAACGTAAAAAGAAAAGGGGGAGCAGCGGGAGCCCCTCGAGAATGCTGAGAACGTACAAAGTGGAAGTGGGGGCCAAGAACAGCAAGTGCTGGAGCGGCCCAATATCGCCAGAGCCGCGTCTCTCGACGTCGCGCCAGTCCTAGCAGGACGCGGGAGCGGAACCAGTGGCCGGGGCCCGCGGTGCCGAGCGGGGCAGAATGCGACACACCTCTCGCCGCCGGGAGCGGAGAGCGCTGCGCCCCCCGCCGGAGAGGAGGGCGCGAAGGGGGGGGCCTCCCCTGCACACCCCCGGGGGCCCTCGGCGGGAGGGGAGGGCGCAGGAGTGGAAGTGGAAGCGGGAGGCAAGCTGGCCAGCCAGAACGAGTCAGCGCCCTCTCCCCGCCCGCCGTGGTCTGGAGATCAATGCCTGCACAGGGCACAGGTGGACGTTGGGGCTGGCGCGCGCTCACGCTGACAGCAGCGATGTGGGGGACGTCTGCGGGCGCGCGGCCCCACTTACGACGACTGGGCCAGCGAACCACGGGCCGCGCACAGGAGGAAGCAGAGTTCTCGAAAAATCTGCGCGATGCGCCAAGGCAACAGCACCGTGGAGCCCTTTCGCGCGCAGACAATCGCGCGCAGACAGTGTTCAGACAGAACCGGCAAGAGCAAAACCTACGCCGAGCCCAAGCGGGAGCGCAACTTTAAGCGGAACAACAGCACGGTAACGATATGTCGCTCTCTCGGACACGGCCCCCGCTTCCGACAACTGTGACAAGAAAGACATGCGCCACGCCCAAATCGGAACTCCATTTGGCGACAAACAAAGCCGCTCTGGCGATATTGGCATCGCTGCGCTGGATCTCCCCTTCTGACAGCTCGGGAACCTTGCTTGGGGGCGTAAGGACATCACATATGCTAAGGGCGGCCTCGAGGACCTCAGACAAAATCCGTGGCGTCGTCGGGCGAGAGTGTGTTGTGTCGGTTCCCTGCTCCAGTTGGTGAAGAAGTTGATAGTCTCCTCTCTGATTGCCTGCCTCTTGACTTTGTGAATGCGGCGTGCGAGTGTCACCCAACCGACCTCCTGGGCCTGGATGTGCGATGCACAGATGTTTGCACCATGCGTGCGTTGCTGGAGCAGCCACAAGCGCAACAAGTGGCAGCAACTGAGCCACACGCCACGCCCAATCCGTCTTCGATCCGTTTGGCATTTCCGTTCCCAAGACATCTAAGAAAGAGGGATAACGAATGATTATCTAGCAGGTTCTCACAACATGCTGGTGGGGCGCGAACTCCTGGCCAGACGGACGCGCTGGGACATGAGCACGCCTAAATTGGTGGAGCGAGATTTGGAAGTTCAGGAGAAGGCTCCTTGAGCCAATCCTCCTCTTCCTTCTCATCCTCCTCCTCCTTCTCGTCCTCCTCCTCCTCCTTCTCATCTTCCTCCTCCGCCCTTGCCAGCGTCGCTCCAAACGGTTCCACTTCGCACCGCATTCGCCCACCGTGATTTAACCGCGCAAGAGCGCTGCTGCTATGGGTGCGACAGCCCTGAGAGGACGACGCACAAAGGACGTTAAGCGGTTCAGGACAGCGTGTAGAGGAAGGGCCGAAGTACGGGGCGGGCCCTACTGCGGCGAACCTCTATCAAACGACGCGGTTCATATCGTAGTTAGTCAAATCAAACAAACGCTCGCCCACGCGCGCACAACCATACATACGGTCAGGAACGTTTGCATAGCGTGTCGCGGCGGCGGCCCCGGCGACACGCTATGCATTGCGAGCGGATAGCGTGTGGCTCCGCTCCGCGGGGCGGGAGGCTGGGAACAGCTCGGGACGTTGACGCGTGGGGACTGGGAAGTGGACTGGGAACTGGCAGAGCGACACGCGATCCAGAAGTTCCGACCGTACACGCACGAGCACACGCGGCCCTGGTGCCCTCTGCGGCTGGTTGCGAGGTGGTCTCCAGGGCTGGCTCGCTCCTGGGGTCTGGGCCGCTGTGCATGGGCGTGAGCGGGGCATCGGCGAGGGCGCTGCCTCTGCTCGCGGGCAAAACTTACATCCACATGCACTGCGTCTTGGATGTTCGGGCCCCCCCTGCCCTGGAAGCCCGCGACGCAGTAGATATGGATAATAGCCTGGCATCGAGAGTGGCCAGATTCTGATCCACGTCCTCTGCGTCTCGGCATTTTTGGTACCCCTCCCCCGAAAGGATCCAAGACGCCATGGATATGGACGTGAGCCTTGCCCGAACTGCTCGGGGCTTCCAGAGGAGGGCTCACGGAGGCGACGCTGCCTCCGGGCTGCATGTGGCGGAGCAGGGCAAGTTTAGGCGACGGCAGCTCAAAATCCGTCCCCAGATTCAACCTCGGCGGTGGACAAACCTCCCTTTAGCAAACCACCCTTTAGTGAAAACGGCCTAAGACCGAAACCGACGGACCTGGACCCGCAAAAATGATGGCCGCGACGCCCTCTCGCCAACCGAAAACGGCTAGTTCGCTAATCGACGTGTCAGGGTTGGAGGTCTATCTCCGACAACCCGGGGTCTACGCACGCCTGTTTTCCGAGCTGCGCCAAGCCGCGGCAGCACAGGGGCCCTCCCAAAGGGCCAAAACGACGTGCCGTCGCCTCAACCCGCCGCCCTCTGGATATACAGGCAGTCGCCCGCTGCTCCTCGCGGACCACGGCGGCCGCTCCACCGCAGTGACGCACACGAGCACGCGCGCTTGCGCACACAGACCCGGACATCCGACGAGAAGATGTCCTCAACACGCGGTCGCAGAGGTCCCGACACCTTCCCCTGGGCAAGGCCTGCGCCAGTGTTTGATGATCCCGGGGCTCGAGAACGGGCCCCCACCTGGATCGCCGCGGGGGTTGCTCTAAGCGGATAAGGGGGTTACAAGCAGATGGTGAGGTGGGTCATATCTGGCCGAACCTGGCAAATAAGTAGGCCAAAAAAGCCCCAAATGGCTTGCAAGGGCTCCCTCACTCCGCTAAGTGGGCGGAGACCACTTGGCCTGGATCGTTACCCCCTAATCCACCCAAGGTGCTTCTAACCCACCTATACGCCATGTTGGGCCATCTGTGAGCCACTTTGTCATCCGCATAGATCCCCCTTTCCACGTAGCAACCCCCGCGGTAATCCCAGAAGAGGCCGAGATCGAGGACAAACTCCAGGATCAAACAACAAAAGACCGTCGGAGATCTGGGGAACACTTTCTCCCTGGCACAACGCTCGCTCGCGCTGGTTCGGGGCTCGCCTGGCACGCGGCGGGGCGCATCTGGCCACCCGCGCACAGGGGCCATCCGAGAGTGGCGCAGCACGAGGCGAGGGGGCGCGCCCAGGGGGCTCAGATGATGTTAACAACGTTGGGGGCCGGGGGTCGTGTTCAGAATCGACGCTGTCGTGTCCCGTTTGGGGGCCCGATTTATGTCATTGGGGGATTCTCGTTCGGCGCTGTACTGCCGTATTGTTATGTTTTGGGCTGCCGTGCTTTGTTCGCTTTGGTTGACCAGAAACCTAAACAAATAAAGCTTGACAACTAAAAACGCCCTCAACGTTTTGACATCAACTAGCATCAACCCGTGCAATAGGGGCGCACGATAAGGGTGCAAGGCCCTTGGAAGGGCATGTCGACACTTTGCGAGCGGGGCGCGGCCAGCGGAAGCGACCAAGGATGGGCCGAAGGGGAAGGATGCAAGGGTTATCTTGGAAATTTGCTCATCCTTGCCGTGCGTCGAGTGGAAGCCAGGGGAAGTATAAGAGGGGGCGGGGCTTCTCAGAAGGCCCAGGAGGCCCCCAAGGTTTGTCAGGGGCTCTCTGAGCGCTCTCCGAAGACGAAGACGGCTTCTCAGAAGGCTGGAGGGCTTCTGCGAAGCCCCGCCGCCGTCTGAAGAGACTTGCCCCCTGTCACTTCCCCCCTCGGCGCGCCACCAGAAGGCGAGGGGCGGGGTGGCGTTTGCCGATTGTCGGGGGGACGTAAGACTCGGATTCGGGGGACCCGGGTTGGCCTGACGGGGCCATCATGAAAATGACGAGACCCAGTGTGAAATTTGACGCGAGCTCCCGCTGGAGACATCCCACGAAACCTGGGCCGTCAAAATCCAGGACGCGTAAGCCGAGTTCTGGCTTACTCGAGTCTGACGCCTCCCCGAGATTGGGGCCGCCTGGACAAGAGGCGCTGGCTGTGGGCCTCGGGCTGGAGGCTCTCCACGAATTCGGCCCCGCTGCTCAGGGTCGGGAGCGGGGGGGCTGTCGGCAGTCTGGCGGGCCCTGAACCCTGTCCGAAGCTCGAGGCCGCCATCCGCGCTCAGGTGCACGCCGCGAGAGGAGCAGCTCGGGAGGCGCAGCTCAGGAGGCGTGCTCCGAGTCGGACCCCCAGCCACGGAGATCGCGCTGGTCGAAGCCGCCCGTCAGGCGGCGCAGGATGCTGGCCGCGAAGTAGGACCCCCTGCCGTTGCCGTGGATGAGGCACTGGACCCGGTCGAAGCCATTGTTCCAGACGGTGCCAGTTCGCTTGTCCGCGGTGAGGAGCCGCCAGTCCAGGTCCGACAGCTGGAGGGAGAGCTCGCCGAGGTAGTCCAGCGCGAGCTTCTCCGGGTGCAGCTCCCACCACTTCGAGAAGACGGACTGATCCCCGTAGACCGACGTGTTGTCGTAGTTCACCAGAGACCACTCCAGCATGGCGGCCAGCTCGTCCACGGGGCCCATGAAGAAGCCGGAGTTCAGGAACTTCACCGCCGGTGGCTCTGCGCAGGGGGCGGAGAAGCCGCAGTCCCTCCGGGCAGCGCATTCGTCGGTCCACGTGCCGTGGCAGCCCTCGTCGGCGGTTCAAAGATGGGGCCCTGAAGGATGGGGCCCTGAGGGTAGAAGTCGGATCACAAGTTGAACCTTCCCTGCTTGAGGTTCTCGTCTGCGGGGCCTCAAACATGCGATGCCCTGATGCTTTCGAGGCGGGGCTGCCGGAAGTCCCGACCCCTTCCCTGGGACCGCTTCTCATCCCGAATCGTGTTTTGACGGTCGCGGGGCACAGGAAGGGCCCCCAGAGCCCCGCAACGGCCAACAGCTCCCCGTCCTGACCACTCCACGGCGCGAGCACGTCCGGGGATCCCGGCCCGCGGGGCCCCGCCTTTGCACCGCCGGCCTCGTTGTAGAGCTCCCAGAAGCCGCCCTCCAGGTCGCGCCCGCCAGCGAGGCCCAGGGCCCAGGGCGGGACGCGCGGCACCCGGTTGCAGTCCTGCTCCCCGCACACGATCTCCGCCCCAAACACTATGCTGGCACCGCTGGCGCTGGCGATCCTCTCGGCTGCGCGCAAGAAGTGCCCCTGTGGGCAAGAAGGGGGCTTTGGTACGCCACTGTCGGGCGCCGTGGGGGGCCAAACCCGGGCGCGCAAGACGCGGCTACACCCCTGCAAAGGGTTGAAACAGTTCTGAGCTAAGACGACGGACTTCACTCCAATCGCTTCGTCAAACTAGTACAGGCCCAGAAATATGGGAACGATGGAGAAGATGACCCTGACGATGTACCCAACCCTCGCGCAACGCGTGGCCAAAATAGCTGGGCAGACATGATCAGGGGGTGATAGCGTGGCAAGGAGTATATGCTCTGCGAGCGATACTTGGAAGGCCCGCGAGCTGCGCGACTCGCAGGACAGCGATCGATGGACAAAGGCTTGCCGGATATGGATAATTATTCACCTGGCTCGAAGGGACCGAGGGGCGAAGACTGAGAGGAGAAGGCGGACGAGGATCTTGAAAAATCGACGAAATGAAGGCAAAGCAAGGATAGAGATGATGTCTCGAGGCGCGCCACCAATGAGTGGTCGAGCTGCTCTGCCAGCTGCTGGGCCCCTTCTCGACATTTGCCCATGCGGGATGGAAAGGCTCGCAAGCGAGGCGCGAGATCTAGCCTGAGTCAGCGTAGGACGTCACTGTGCTGGACCCCCCAGCAGCCATCGAAAGTGGCGACAGCTTCGCAGATCGCAGCCCCCCAGGGATTGCGAGGTCGAATCTGCATCTGCGTCGGACGTCATTGTGCTGGCCACTCAGCAGCCCTCGAAGGTGGCGAATGCTTCGCAGATCGCAGCCCCCCCCCCGGGATGGAGAGGTCGACCTTGAATACGCGTAAGTCGTCATTCCGCTCGACCCCCAGCAGCCCTCAAACAAAGCGACAGTTTCGCAAATTGCAGCCCCCCAGGGATGGCGAGGTCCAATCTGAAACAGCGTAGGACGTCACTGTGTAGCCCTCGAAGCTGGCGATAGTTTCGCAGATCGCAGCCCCCAAGGGATTGCGAGGTCGAATCTAAATCTGCATAGGACGACACTGTGCTGCCCCCCCCACACAGCCCTCGAAAGTGGCGACAGTTTCGCAGGCAGCCTCCCGGGGATGGCGAGGTCCAATCTGAATCTGCGTAAGACGTCATTCCGCTCGACCCCCAACAGCCCTCGAAAGAGGCAGCAGTTTCGCAGGTCGCAGCCCCCCAAGGATGGCGAGGTCTAATCTGAGTCCGCGTAAGGCGTCAGTCACTGTGCTCGCCCCCCAAGCAGCCCTCGAAAGTGGCGACAGCTTCGCAGATCGCAGCCCCTCAGGGATGGCGAAGTCTAATCTGAGTCCGCGTATGGCGTCAGTGCTGCCCCCCCCCCCCAGCAGCCCTCGAAAGAAGCGACAGATTAGCAGGACGAGAGAGAGAGGGAGGCGGGAAGGAGGAACGAGGGATGCAACCACAGTGCTTCATTCAAAACGAGAACCCCATCACGGAGGGTTGGGGGAACGAAAAGCTCCAAGAAACGCCCTGGGTCCAGACAATATTCTTGATTTTTGTTAAGGCAATCCTGAGTCCATGAACAATCACAGCTTTTTCGTGAGATTTCCGAGGGGTGTATCGCACTGCGTTCAATCATCTGGGGACCCCAGGTGTGCCCACACCAATGGTCACTCCGGCGAAAGGTCACTCTTGCACTCAGCCGATCCTCTTGTACGCGCCCATAAAATCGTCCGGCGAGCACCCTCCCCAGAACACGTCCTCTGCGGGCAACAGTTGTACCCATATCCACGGCGTGGTGGATGTTTGGGAAGGGATGCCCCAACAAAAACGAGACGCAATGGATCTTGACAAAAACATGGTTTCGCTATGGGTCGCATGCTCGTATATTATCCACTGCGTCTCGCGCTTTAGGGGAGGTATGAATCAAACATCCGAAACGCCGCGGCTACGCATACAAGCAGTATCCGCATCCTTCCCGTCGACGAAGGCGACGAAGTGGTCCTTGTTGGACTTGCCCTGCCGCTCCCTCCCCCTCTGCAGGCCCACGACGTAGTCGCGCAGGAGCTCCACCTTGGTCTTGAAGTTCACCCACTCCTTTGGGCAAAGGCCGACCGTGCGGGCATTCCTATAGGCCTACCGCGACATGTTCTTAGCACCGAAGATATTATGATAATACGTAACAGTGTTACCACACTCTTGGAACATCAAGCCAATGCACTAAAACAAGACAAGATCATCGAGTCATGCTCTAATACCATTTCGTGCAAACCAGAAAAGGTTCTTTCGGGGGCGGCCAAGAAGGAGGCTTCCAAGAGGGGGGGGTGCAAATCATGACCGGCGACATGTGCGTGGCCCAGGGGGAGGGGCTGGGGACGTAATGAAATAAGAAGAGGCGCCATGAAATCTGGGGAAATATCATGGCCCACACCATGATACCCACCCACCCTAGTCATCACCCCCCTCTTTGCCGACCCCGATTCTTAGAACATTCTTTGGCGGGCCTCCAGGCGAGCCGGGAGGCTTCGCCGCTGCTTGACTCCTTGCCGAGGCCCGCGTTGACCACCGGCGCCCCGAAGCCCGCGGCGAAGTCCCCGGCGGCCTCCAACAGCGACCTCCCCCTGGTCTCGGCCGTGAGGAAGATGAGGTCGCGCGCGACCGCGTCGCCTGTGGGGGCACATAGAGCTACCGATGCGGCTACAGTCAACCGGGATAGTAAGGATGCGCGGTAAGGATGCAAAGGCCTTGGACGCCCATTTCGAAGCTCTTCGAGCGGAGCGCGGCCAACGAAAGTGTCCAAGGACGGACCGAGGAGGCAAGGGTGCAAGGGTACGTACCCTTGGGAGGGATGCCTATCCTTCCTATGCGGGTCGACTGTACTCCCCATACCTCTTCCCAGACCCCCTCGAGTCATGAAAAAGCCACGACGGGAGGCTCTTCGCACTTTTTTCGGCCCCTGGGGGCCCTTTTATACGGGGCCTCGGGGCCGTCAGGAAACGGCGATCGGGAGGAAATCCGGTGCCTGGGAATGGCTCCAGACCTCTGGGATTTGGTCGGGCATGTCCCCCTACAGGCGGATGCTGGACGAGCAATAAAAAATATGTTTTTAAAAATACATAAAAAAATGACCAAGAATAGTCAAAAAATCGTCCCCATACTATTTTTTGACTATTCCTCCTGTAGACGGTCAGGCCCAACTTAACTCTGGCGGTCGCGTCCTGAGAAAATCATGACGTCGGCGGTCTGGGACTCCCCAAAGACCTCTTGCGGGGTGCGTCCTGCAGGGATCTCGAGGCGAGTCCCGCCACGGCGACGAGGGCCTCCCAGGAGGCCCAAACAGGCGACCACGAGGCAGAGGTGGCGGTATAGGTACAGTCGACCTGTATCATAAGGATGCGCGGTAAGGATGCAAGGGCCCTGGAGGGCCACAGTAGCATTCTTCGAACGAGGTTGGCCAGCGAGAGTCGCCAAGGATGGGCCGAAGGGGCAAGGATGCAAGGGTACCCTTGAGAAGGTTGCCCATCCTTACTATGCGGGTTGACCGTACCTTCTCCTCCCCTGACGCCTGCCGCCGCAGGGTTCAGCAGCGCCCCCCGCAGCGGTGCCCGCAGTGACACCGGCAGGTCGGCGTGATCCTTGAGCAGGGACCGACCGCCCCGGCATTCCTATAGGCCTACCACGAAATTCTCTTAGAACCCGAAAATGTCTCGAATAACGAAAGCAAGGTTCTTAGAACATAAACCCGATGTGTTAAAGCAAGGCAATCCCAGCCAGACATAACTGTTCGTGGACACCACAACAAGTTCTTAGAACATTGTTTGGTAGCCCTATCGGCACGCCAAGATGCTTCGCCACTGCTTGAGATCCTTCGGCTGCTCTCGGCAAGAGTGACTTTTGGTGCCCAGCTGCAGGGGGCCGCAGCAGGGGCCGCAGCAGGGGCCGGCACCGAGCAGCTTAAGCGCACCACCGGCCAGTGCTGGCGGGACGCCCGTGGGCCCGCACAAAAGGTCACTCGGAGGGGGAAGAGGAGGAGGAGGTGGAGGAGGAGTAGGAGAAGGAGGAGGGGGAGGAGGAGAAGGAGGAGAAGGAGGAGGAGGGGGGGGGGGGGGGGAGGAGAAGGAGGAAGAGGAGGAGGAGGAGAAGGAGGAGGAGGAGGAGGCGGAAGGGTCCAAGACAAAGCCAGGACAGGGACAACATCGGACTGGGATGATCAATCGGGGGGAATCTGAGACCCGGCTGTTCTAGAGGATGGATCGGGCGGCGCGGCGTTCCAGAGCGCTCTGGAACGCTCTGAAAGCGTGAGTTCTGGATCGATTAGACCCTTGTCCTTCCCTGAGATCCGACGTTGCGAAAAAATGGCAGCATCGCGAAAAACTCAGGACCAGAGCCACCCCTCTTTCATCCGAGCCTGATCGATATTTGGAAGAGAGCGTGATCCACCGCCGCTTTACTGTGGAAAATTGCCTACCTTTTCCTCCGGAGCCCGGGGGTCGCCCCCCCCCCCCCCCCTCCGAAAATCCCCCCCCCCCTGCTGGAACCCCTCCCCCCCCCCCCCCCTCCCTCCCCCGGCAAAACCCCCCCCTCCCCGCCCCTACCCCCCCCCCCCCCCCCCCTCGAAAACCGGGGGGGGGTCACTACCGTTCGAACCCCTCCCCCCCCCCCTTCGGATCCGAAAAAACTGGAGGGGGCCACTACCGGTTCGCACCCCCCCTTCCCCTTTCCCCCCCCCCCCTACTCACCGCCAGCAAACGACTCCCGGTCCCCACCACCGTCCGCATCACATCCCCCACTGGTGTTCCCAGCACCACTGTCCTCACCACCGCTGTCCCCACTGGTTCCACCACCGCCCCTACTGTCCCCACCAGTGGCCCCACCACTGTCGCACTGTCCCCGCTGTCCCCAGAACTGTTCCCACCACGGTTCCACTCTCCCCACTGTCTCCACGGCCCCAACCACTGCCCGACTATCCCCACTGTCCCCACTGTCCCACTGACTCCTCCGCTGTCCCACTGAGCTGTCCCACTGTTCCCACCACTGTCCCCACTGTCCCCACCACTGTCCCCACTGTACCTCTGTCCCATTGTCCCACCGCCGTCCTCGCCACCGCCTTCACCACTGTCCCCACCACCATTGTACCCTCCACTGTCCCACTGTTTCCACCTCATTCCCATTGTCCCCACACCACTGTCCCCACCACCACCGTCACCACCACTGTCCACTGTCCCCCCCTGTTCCCACCATTGTCCCCACCACTGTCCCCACCACTACCGTCCCCACCACTGTCCCACTGTCCCACTGTCCCCACCACTGTCCCGCTATCCCCTCACCACTGTCCCACCAACACCGTCCCCACCTCTGTCCGCACCCCCACTGGGTTTTCGAGAGGGGGGGGGGGGTTCGAACCGGTAGTGACCCCCCCCCTTTTCATGATGAGCAGGGGGGGGGGGGGGGGGAGGGGTTCGAACCGTAGTGACCCCCCCCCGTTTTTTCCGCAGGGGGGGGGGGGGGGGGAGGGGTTTCGAACCGGTAGTGACCCCCCGGTTTTCCGCCAGCAGCGGTAGAACACGCTCTTTCATATTTTGGGGTGACGGCCCCCGAAACAGGGCCAAAAAATGAAACGCTCTTTAGGTCGCTGCGGGCAGGGGTTGAAGAGGGGGAGGGGGGAGGAGGAGGCGGAGTGGAGGTCCCACCCCCCATCCTCCTCCTCCTCCTCCTCCTCTCCTCCTCCTCCTCCTCCTCCTCCTCCTCCTCCTCCTCCTCCTCCTCCTCCTCCTCCTCCTCCTCCTCCTGGGGGCAACCCCGCCCGAGGGTCGCTCTCGCGCGCCGCCGCGGTCCTGCCGGAGCCGCCACAGCCCCGCGCCGCCCACCGCCGCGAAGGCCAGCAGGGCGCCGGCCAGGAGGCCGCCCGCGAATTGCAGCTGTGAGGGGCGACGATTGGGGGGGGATAGGCATAGGGGGGGGAACATCGACCTGGAACGGGCGATACATCGCAGATAGATCGGCGATGTGCCCCCGATGGCGAATCCGCACCTTCAGGGGCAGGTTCAGGCTATCGGGCCCCTATCGGCGATCAAGGGGCGATTGGGGGTCGGCGCTTCCCCCTCTATGCCAGTCCACCCCCGATCGTTGCTCCTGCAGCTGGGGGCGCAGCTGTCCGCCGCCCTCGCGGGGGTCGCAGTCCTGCGCAGACGCGTGCGACGATCAACCCAGACCCCCTCGAGTCAGGAAGAAATCACGACGGGAGGTTATTCCCAATGTTCGGCCTCTGGGGGCCCTTCTACTGGGCCTCGGGGCCGTCGGAGAACGGCTATCGGGATGAGGAACCCGTCCCGGGGTAAGGGTCCGGACCTCTGGGAGTCGCGTCATGAAAAGATCATGGCGCCGGGGGTCTGGCTCGGGTGCGAGCGACAAATCAACAACAGGTCCCACGCGAGATGGCGCAGTGACCTTGCGCGGCGCCTTAGACGCGGCACGCCCGCGCGGCGGGAACTTTTGGACAGCGTGCCGCCATGGCGGCCCCGGCGGCACGCCATGCCTTGCGAGCGGGTGCCTAGCGTGTGTCGCTCCGTTCCGCGCCGCGAGGCGGGAGGCTGGGATCAGCTCGGGACGTTGACGCGTGGGGACTGGGGAGAGGAGGACTGCCAAGTACGCTATAGGCTTCAGGGCGCCGAAGCCCAAGTTTAAGGATGAGGCGACCCTCAGAATTCGGTGATCCACGACCGCTTGGAAGCTTCATCCTTAAAGTCCTGAGTTTGTGTGGTGCGATAGGTACTCGCATGGGAAAGGGCCGGGGTCGCATGCGAACGCGCCCCTCACAATGCGGAACGTGCGTGCTCCACGCTCTGATTGATGGGCCCTCTGGTGTAGTCAGCACGCCGAATTGCCCGGTGGACAATTACGTGCCCGCACGCGTTCCTCAAATGTACTTGTGAGCACGGTGTCCAAAGCCCCCTCCTCCTCCTTCCTCTCATCCCCTCCAGAGAGAGAGAGAGAGAGAGAGGACAAAGGCGTCGGCGCTGGTGGCGCAGCGGGAATTCGGGCTCGGCTCTCATGGGCCGGCTGTGCGTGCCCGCCCGTGGACCCCTGGATGGGGCAGGGCGCGGCGACCCTTCCTTTGGCCCGCCACCTCTTCCAGAGGCCTCCGAAAGCCGAAAGGTGAGGACCCGACCCCCTGAAAGGTAAACCAATGATGCACGGGTGCCTGACAAAGACCAGCGAAGAAAACGAAGAGCAGAAGACGAACCGATCGTTACCCCGAGGTTGCCATGGTGGTGTGTGTGGCGCCTTGAGGACGCAAGCAACCGACAACCGACAAGGGCGCCTACATAGGCTAGATTGTGCACAATGGTGTCCACCGTTTGGGGGGGGGTCCTTCGGGCCAGAGGAACAGCCTGAACACCCCCCCTGGTTTGTGGCGCCTTGTTGGTGCACCCAGAACAGAAAATGACCGCTCGTGGTGGGAAATATGGCGCGGGGGAAGGGTTCGGGCCAAGGGAATAGCCCGAACAAACCACCTGACTGGCGGTTCTTTGACGACGCTCTTAAGCATCCAACGGCGGGGCCGTCAGGAGACAAAGCGTCCCTGGTGGTGTGTGGACCCTTGATGGCGCAATCCAAAAGCAACGGGGGCGCCTGCGCAAGCTACAGCGCACTTGATGTTGGACTCCGTGTTGGGCGGTCCTTGGGGCTAAGGGAACAGCCCGAAACACCTCCCCTGGACTGTGGCGCCTTGTGGGCGCACCCAGAACACAGAACGTCCGCCCGTGGTAGTGGCTGTACTGAGGGGGGGTTGGAGGCTAAGGGAACAGCCCGGACAACCTCCGTGACCTCGATCATCCGACAACGGGGCCGTCGTGAGCCACGGTTGCTGAGGTGGTGTGTGGCAACTTGATGGCGCAACTAGCAACCGACAAGGGCGCCTACGTAGGCTACAACGCGCATGGTGGTGGACACCGGTTTGGGGGGGGTCCTTCGGGCCAAAGGAACAGCCCGAACACCCCCCCTGGTTTGTGGCGCTTTGTTGGCGCACCCACAAAGGAAAACGACCGTAGTGATAGCCCCGATGCTGGGGGGGGGTCTTCGGGCCAGTGGAACAGCCCGAACAAACCCCTCAGGTTTGTGGCGCCGTGGTGAATACAAAACCGACCGCCCAAGCGACCTCCCAAAGGGGGTGCTACGGGCCAACGGTTGCAGCGCCATGTGAGCAAGTTGTCGCCATAGTGTATGTGCATGGGGTGGTAGAGCCCCATTGAGGGATTGTTTGGGTCTTGGGGCCAGCCCAAATGACCCCCATTGGCCTGTGTCGCCCCGGCGGTGAAAACCCCAGCGAGCTCAGGGGAGGTGCTCATCGGAGACTGTGTGTTCTTGTGCGTGCGTGTCTCCTTCCAGGCCGCCCCGTGCGTCCTCCCTGAATACTCGACACTGGGGCCATGCTCACCCTCGCTATAGGCTTCAGGGCGCCTAAGCGCATCTTAAGGATGGAGAGAGCGTGATCCACCGCCGCTTTACTGTGGAAAATTGCCAACCTTTTCCTCCGGAACCCGGGGGTCGCCCCCCCCCCTCCGAAAATCCCCCCCCCTGCTGGAACCCTCCCCCCCCCCCCCCCTTCCCCCGGCAAAACCCCCCCCTCCCCTAACCCCTCCCCCCTCCCCCCCCCCCTCCCGCTCGAAAACCGGGGGGGTCACTACCGGTTCGAACCCCCCCCCCCCCCCCCCCCCCTTCGGATCCGGAAAACCGGGGGGGTCACTACCGGTTCGAACCCCCCCCCCCCCCCCCCCCCCCCCCTACTCACCGCCAGCAAACGACTCCCGGTCCCCACCACCGTCCGCATCACATCCCCCACTGGTGTTCCCAGCACCACTGTCCTCACCACCGCTGTCCCCACTGGTTCCACCACCGCCCCTACTGTCCCCACCAGTGGCCCCACCACTGTCGCACTGTCCCCGCTGTCCCCAGAACTGTTCCCACCACGGTTCCACTCTCCCCACTGTCTCCACGGCCCCAACCACTGCCCGACTATCCCCACTGTCCCCACTGTCCCACTGACTCCTCCGCTGTCCCACTGAGCTGTCCCACTGTTCCCACCACTGTCCCCACTGTCCCCACCACTGTCCCCACTGTACCTCTGTCCCATTGTCCCACCGCCGTCCTCGCCACCGCCTTCACCACTGTCCCCACCACCATTGTACCCTCCACTGTCCCACTGTTTCCACCTCATTCCCATTGTCCCCACACCACTGTCCCCACCACCACCGTCACCACCACTGTCCACTGTCCCCCCCTGTTCCCACCATTGTCCCCACCACTGTCCCCACCACTACCGTCCCCACCACTGTCCCACTGTCCCACTGTCCCCACCACTGTCCCGCTATCCCCTCACCACTGTCCCCACCAACACCGTCCCCACCACTGTCAGCACCCCCACTCGGTTTTCGAGGGGGGGGGGTTTCGAACCGGTAGTGACGCCCCCCGGTTTTCTGGATCCGGAGGGGGGGGGGGGGGGGGGGGGGGGGGGGGTTCGAACCGGTAGTGACCCCCCCCCCCTTTTCATGATGGGGGGGGGGGGGGGGAGGGGTTCGAACCGGTAGTGACCCCCCCCCCCGGTTTTCCGGAGGGGGGGGGGGGGAGGGGTTCGAACCGGTAGTGACCCCCCCCGGTTTTCCGCCAGCAGCGGTAGAACACGCTCTTTCTAAGGATGAGGCGACCCTCAGAGTTCGGTGATCCACGACCGCTTGGAAGTTTCATCCTTAAAGTCCTGAGTTTCTGTGGTGCGACAGGCACCCGCATGGGAAAAGGCCAGGGTCGTATGCGAACGCGCCCCTCACAATGCGGAACGTGCGTGCTCCATGCTCTGATTGATGAGCCCTCTGGTGTGGTCAGCACGCCGAATTGTCCGGTGGACAATTACGTGCCCGCACGCGTTCCTCAAATGTACTTGTGAGCACGGTGTCCAAAGCCCCCTCCTCCTACCTCCTCTCATCCCCTCCAGAGAGAGAGAGAGAGGACAAAGGCGTCGGCGCTGGTGGCGCAGCGGGAATTCGGGCTCGGCTCTGAGGGGAACGAGGAGGAGGAGGAGGAGGAGGAGGAGGAGGAGGAGGAGGAGGAGGAGGAGGAGGAGGAGAAGGGGGAGGAGGAGGAGGAGAGGAGGAGGGAGGAGGAGGAGGGGAGGAGGAGGAGGAGGAGGAGGAGAGGAGGAGGAGGAGGAGAGGAGGAGGAGGAGGAGGAGGAGGAGGAGGAGGCGAGGGGGCCAGGAGGAGGAGGAGGAGGAGGAGGAGCAGGAGGAGGAGAAGGAGGAGTGGATAGCGTGACGCACCGAGGCGCGGTGGATAGCGTGTCGCACCGAGGCCTGCACGGATGTGAACGTGCCAGGGGGGGAAGCGACGAGGGGCAGGCCTTCTCAAGAGGCTCGGAAGCGCTCCGGCCTTCTGGGAAGTGCTCCAGGCCTGCCCCGAGGGCGGAGGAAGCGCTCTGCTCGGAAGCGGGGGCGCAGCGGCCCGTCGCCCTCGCCCGGGCCGCAGTCCTGCACGCCCGCGGCAAATAAGCAGTCTCAAAGGGAGCGAGGCGCGCGAGAAAATAGGGCGGCCCTGCGCGGCGGCCTGGGCGGGCCGCCGGCGCGGCACGCCTCGTGAGGCTTGCGCGGGAAGCCTATACGAGGTGAAGGTCAGGCGTCGACCCCGGAGATCCGACGCAGCGAAAAAATGCAACATCGTGAAAATCCGCGCCCGGAGCCCAGGACCCAATCTTTCTGCGTCATTCTTCGAGCCGGATCGATCTGTGAGGGTCCCGGGTCCCGAAAAAAGACGAGAACGCCCGGCTCGAAAAAAATGAGTCGCCAGGATCTCAGGGATGTCGGATTCGATGTACGGGCACTGTCGTTGGTTCTCGGCGGTTCTCCAGCCCTTGGGCTGCGTGCCAGAGGCTGCGCCCCGCCGAGAGTGCTCCGGGGGATGCCCAGATCGTTCTCTGGACCACCGCCGGCGACCCGAGCTGGGTCCTGAAGACCCAACTCGTCGGTGCGCAGAGGGTGGAAGTGAGAGGGGGCAGGCCTTCTCGGAAGGCGACTCCTCCTCCTCCTCCTCCTCCTCCTCCTCCTCCTCCTCCTCCTCCTCCTCCTCCTCCTCCTCCTCCTCCTCCTCCTCCTCCTCCTCCTCCTCCCTCCTCCTCCTCTCCTCCTCCTCCTCCTCCCCCTCCCCCTCCTCCTCCTCCTCCTCCTCCTCCTCCTCTCCTCCTCCTCCTCTCCTCCTCCTCCTCCTCCTCCCTCCTCCCCCTCCTCCCCCTCCTCCTCCTCCTCCCCCTCCTCCTCATCCTCATCCTCCTCCCCCGTCTCCTATCGCGCGCCCCGCCAGCCTTCCGAGGAGTGTTTCTCTGCCTTCGGAGGAGGCATATGGAACACTTCTCGGAGACGGCCTCGGAGGGTTTCCGAGCCTTTTCTGAGAAGGCCCGCCCCATCTGCTCCGGATATCGGAGGCCTGGAAATGGGCACCAACACCAACACAGGTGGTTGCCTCCACAGGGGGAAGATGATCCTAAATTTCGGTGTTGGTGGTAATATTTCGGCCACCTTGGAAGCCAGAAAATTTCCCATCACTGAGATCGGGATCTTCTTTCCTCGGTGGAGGCACACCACAGACACTGGTGTTGGTGTCAACCTCTAGCCCTGCGAGAATATGAGCGAAAAACGAAAACGGGTTTTACGCCAGAAGGCATAGCGACCTCACGCGGTGGCTTACGCGGGCCGCCAGCGCGGCACGCGTTGTTCTGCGTCTCTCACTTGGATCACCGCGGGAGGTGCTAAGTGGATATTGAATTGAAAGTGGATGCCAATGTGGCTCATATCTGGCCCAACCTGGCTTACAAGTGGGTTAGAAGTGCCCTGTGTGGCTCAGGGGGTATGGATCCTGGCGACGTGGACTCCGGCCACTCAGCGAAGTTAGCGAACCCACACAGGCCATGTAGGGCACTTATACCCCACCCATTGGCCGGGTTCGGCGAGATAGGAACCACCCTGGCGTCCACTGATGACCCCCCTACCTCCTCAGCGACTAGCGCGGTGATTGAAGTAGGCGGGGGTGCAAAACACGGGGGCCCAGATCTCCGCCGACATGTTCTTGATCCATCTGGGTGCTTTCTCTCGAGTTCCGCTGTCGGGCCCCTGGGGCCATCAGCAATGAGTCCAAGACGAAAAACTGCCCCCTGGGAAGGGGTCGGGACCTCTGGGACCGCGGATCGGGCAAATCACGACGGGGGAGGGCCTATTGCCGATTGCCCAGACTCCCTCGCGCTGTGAAAAAGAACGGCGGACGGTTTTCTGTTGCTGTTATCTGGCTCCAGGGCCCCTTCCTGGACCGCCAAACATCGGCGCGGAAAAGCCGATCCCCGTGAAGTGATCGAACCCTCGAGGGGATCCTAGCTGAGTTGTTTAAAATTCATTAATACCTAAACACAGGAGAAACGACGTCGGGGGTCTGGGTGACAAGGGCGAACTCGAGAGTTGCAGGATAGAGGCCCTGAGCGGGCCCGTAGAAGGGCCCCACCAACTGCCACCGCGGCCCCAGAAAGGTGCCCCCCCCCGTGCATTACGGTGGGGGCGTTGGATAAGGAACCCTCAGATAAGGAATCCAGGGTCTGGAAGCTGGTGGAACTCCTATGGAGGCCTGGCCATGGGTGTCATCGCCGCCGTCATCAGATGATAGAGGAAGAAAAACTGCATAAGAATAGACTGTTGGAGGTCCACGCGAATGCCTTGGATCTGCGCTGAACCCCCCCTACTGGCGCGCGGAGATCGCCAAGGGCGAAGCCGGAGTCTCCGCCAGGGGGGGTCCAGCGCTGATCCAAGAAACCCGCGAGGACCTCTTGCGGGTAAAAATTGTATCCATACCCGTTGCGTCATGGAGTTCCGGGCTCCTTTCCCCAGAAACCAGAGGCGCAGTGGATATGGACGAAAAATATGGTCCCCAGTGGCTACACGTCGCTCATTTCTAATCGTGCTCATTTTTAATAGCACTCGTTTCTAATTGTTCCTGGCCCCCTAGTTGCCAGGAAGAGGCCCAGGATAAAACAACTAGAAATGAGATAATCTTGGCCAAAAAAACAAACAAAGAACTCTTGAATACATAGAAATGAACAATGTGTATATGTTTATCCATATCCGCTGCGCCTGGGCCTTCTGGCGCCCCTTCCCAGGAACTTCAAGACGCAGTGGATACGGATATGAATATTGCCCGCACCTCTGGAAGTTTCGGCCCATGCCATTCTTGGCAGGAAAAAAACAAATACACATAAATTGTTGGCGCTCCGCGCGGATTTCTTGGATTCGCGCTGGACCCCCCCGCGGCGCGCGCCAGAAGTGTATGTTCACGCATGGCTTCCTTCTTCGAGTTTCTGCTCATGCCACTCTCCCTTCGCGATAAGCCCTCCAGGGCCCGAGGCCGATGGGCGCATTTCTATCGACCAGCGCACCCCTTTGCCGCCCGCCCAAGCCTGCAGGTCCACGCCGCACCCCGGCCTCTCGTGGTCGTCCAGAAGCCCGTCGCGCGCGCCCTCGCCTGGGAAAAGCCGAACACATGGCGATGCCTACCCAGACCCCTTCGCTATAAGACGAAAATCGCGACCGAAGACCGAAGGTTTTTCGTTGTTTTCGGCCTCTGGGGGCCCTTACTGGGCCTCGGGGCCGTCAGAAGACGACCCAGGATGAAAAACCGGTCCTGGGGAATGGGTCTGGACCTGGGAGTCGCGTCACGAAAAAATCCGCCGACCCTGTCGGCATGTGTGGGGTGTCTGTCCGGTCCCGTCGACGGGGAGCCTTCTTTCGTCCCCTCTGGTCGGGGGAGAGAGAGAGAGAGAGAGAGAGAGAGAGAGCACCCTTCGTCGTTCGGGGAACGGGTTCGCAGCTTGAGGGAATTCCATCCACGTCCTCACTACGTCAAAGGGAAGCCCCTTCCCTTTGTCGCTTCCCGGGCGGGTGGGGGGGTCCTGGGGAGGGGAGGGGGGTCAGATTCGCATCGCCGCTGGGGGTCCTCCACTCCCACACCGGTCCTTCTGAGGCGCGCCGGTCCTCCTCGGGTCCTCCTCCCCAAGTGGGGATACGCACCCGTCCCTGGGGGTCCTCCTCCTCCTCCTCCTCCCCTCCCCTCTCCCACGCCAGTCCTCCTCCGGTCCTCCTCCCCAGGGGGGGGGTCCCAGGGGGGGAGTCCTTTTTCTCCTCCTCCTCCTTCCTCCTCCTCCTCCTCCTCCTCCTCCTCCTCCTCCTCCTCCTCCTCCTCCTCCTCCTCCTCCTCCTCCTCCTCCTCCGCATCTCCGCCTCCTCCTCCTCCTCCTCCTCCTCCTCCTCCTTCTCCTCCCCCTCCTGGTCGTCGTCGATGTCTTTCGGGGTCGGCGGCACTGGCCGTCAGGCCTTCACAATCGTGACGTCGGGGGTCTGGGCAGATGGGGTCCGAGCAGATGGGGTCGGAGGATTCCACCGCATCGCCGACGCATCGGGCGATGCATCGGCACCGCATCGGAGACGTCGGTGATGCAGCATCGGCCCTGAGACCCGACGTTGCAAGAAAGAATTGCAGCATCGCAAGAATCACGACCAGAGCCCCAGACCCCATCTTTCTGCGCCACTTTTCGAGCTCGATCGATCCGAGAGGGTCTCGGGGCCCGAAACTGGGCGCAAAAACGCCCGGCGCTGAAAAATTGCAGCGCCAGGATCTCAGGGGGCGGCGTCGGCGTGGAGGAAATCGGGCTCCACATTGAGCTGCAGCGCCGATGCATCGGCGATGCATCGGCGATGCGGCGTGATCCTCCGGACCCCCTCTGGGAGGCCTAGGATCTCCCAGGCGAACCTGGCCGTGGCAACGAGGGCCCGCTTGGGAGAGCCCCCAAAAAGCTCAAATCCAAGCCCCAAAAACAGCCCAAATCCAAACGTGCTCGCGTCCAGGTGGCCCTTGCTGGGCCCGGTATCCCCAGACCCCCTCGAGCCATGACAAATCACGACGGGAGGTTTTTCTATATTTTCGGCCTCTGGGGGCCCTCACCGGCCCTCGGGGCCGTCAAAAAACGACTCGGGATGAAAGGCCGGAACTGGCGAATGGGTAAGGACCTCTGGGGGTCGCGCAATGAAAAAAATCATGACGTCTGGGGTCTGGGTCTCGAACTTTTCCGGGGGACTGGTCTTCCAACGGGACCGTGTCCTGGCGCCCACGGAACCTGAAAACAGCCCCATGCATGGAACTGGCAGCGCGCGCAAGTGGGGCAGGGGCAGGGGGGGAAGGCTTCTCAGAAGGCGGCTGCTCCTCAGAAGGCGCGGGCTCAGATACAAGACCATCGCCCTCTAAGAAGCAGCCTCCTCCTCGGAAGCCTTCCCCCCTCCCCCGATGCCCCACTTGTGCGCGCCGCCGCTGGAAGCCGACAAACTCCCAAGGAAGCCTCCGTCTCAGTGTGCCCTGGCCGCGGGGGGAGGTCTGGCTCTCTCGGGGATCGGGTCTCGGGCGGCCGCTCGGGACAGGGCGGGCACCCCACCCTCGGCGAGGGGTGATGGGCCTGTTTTCCACCACCACCAACACCACCATAAGTTGGAGGGGGAGGGGGTCCTCCTCCACCTCCTCCTCCTCCTCCTGCTCCTCTTCGTCCTCCTCCTCCTCGTCCTCCTCCTCCTTCCCCCCTCCAACTTATGGTGGTGGTGGTGGTGGAAAACAGGCCCATCAAGGGGCAGCTGCAGAAGGGCGCCCCGCAGCGGAAAACCTGCTGCGAGCACCCAGGCACCACGGGCGGGACCAGGACAAGGACAAAGCCGCTCCAGAGCGTTCCGGAACGCTCTCAGAGCGCCCAGGAGCGCTCTGAGAAGGCCGCGGCGCCCGAGACATCCTCCAGAGCAGCCGGATCTTAGAGATTCTGAATGTATCCTCGCCCGATGCTTTGAACAGAGACCGGCCGTCGCGGCATTCCTATAGGCCTACCACGACATTTTCCCAGAACCAAAAAATGTTCGAATAACCGTCTGCGGGCGATAATAACCCCCCTGGGAATATAAAGTTCGCGGTTCCCGCGGGGATAATAAAGGATTTTCCCGGGGAAGGTATGTTATGATTCGTGATGAAGATGAAGATGACGACGATGATGGAGGAGGTAGAGGTTAAACCAGGCGCACGACAGAAGCCTGACTCGAGCGATCTCGAGGCTCGTGACTACTTGCCACACGTTCCTGACTCGGGAGCGGCTAAGAAAATGAACATCCCGTGGCCCTGCCGCACGGTCGTAACGTGGGCAAACTCAACTGGTGAGAATCCCACTGCCCTGCCACACGCTCATGATTGCGGAAGCTGGTGTGGTGAGACCACCATGGCCATGCTCAGCGTTTTTGATGATGCTGCTAATCGACATGATTTGATAGCAACTTCGATCCCAGCAACTTTCCCATGGATTATTAAGTTCGGCCTCCACGCCTTCCCCACAGATGAACCCCTGTGGTCGGGGATAAAGAATTAGAGGGGGTTTCAAAGGGGGGGTTCTTGAATATCGCCCGCACTCGGTTAACACAAATTATCCCAGTGCGACCCGACCTAGGAGTTGGAGCCCCTAGGAAAGCAGCACTAGTAGCAACAGTAAAGCCAAGCTAAAACTAAGCTAAAGGTAAGCTAAAGCTAAGCTGAAGCTAAGCTAAAACTAAACTACAGCTAAGCTAAAGCTAAGCGAAAGCTAAGCGGAAGCTAAGCGAAAGCTAAGCTAAAGCTAAGCGAAAGCTAAGCTAACGATAAGCTACAGCTAAGCTAAAGCTAAGCTAAAGCTAAGCTAATGCTAAGCTAAAAGCTAAGCTAAAGCTAAGCTGAAGCTGAGCTAAAGCTGAGCTAAATCTAAGCTAAAGCTAAGCTAAAGCTAAGCTGAAGCTAAGCTAAAACTAAGCTGAAGCTAAGCTGAATCTAAGCTAAAGCTAAGTTAAAGCTAAGTTACTTCCAAGCTATAATTAAGCTAATGATAAGGTAAAGTTAAGCTGAAACTAAGCTAAAGCTAAGGTAAAGCTAAGCTAAAGCTAAGCTAAGGCTAAGCTAAAGCTAAGCTAAATCTAAGCTAAAGCTAAGCTAAAGCTAAGCGCAAGCTGAGTTAAAGTTAGGCTAAAGCTAGACTACAGCTAAGCTAAAGTTAAGCTACAGCTAAGCTAAAGCTAAAGCTAAAGCTAAAGCTAAAGCTACAGCTAAAGCTCCCAAGGAACTGGGGGAACCACGGAGCGGATACTGGGGGAACCGCCTGGGGCGATATCCACTGCCCGGCCCCGTTAAGGTATAAAGTAAGAACCCTCTAGGCAGAGCCTAGGTAGGGAACAATGTTCTTAGAACATAAACCCGATGCGTTCAAGCAAGCCAGTCCCAGCCAAGAATAGTATGTCGTGGAAGCCACCCAAAAAATCTTAGAGCAGTGTTTGGTGGGCCTATAGGTACCCCAGGACGCCTCGCCACTGCTCGAGTGTTATCCTCGTCGGTCGAGGGAAAGAGAGCACCTCCGCTGTGAGCTTTTGACCCAGTGTATCTTCCTCGCTAGTTGACTATATGTGCGTCTCTTCCCGTCAAGTCTCGTGGGCATCGTTTCTGGATGGGACGGTGGGGATACTTTTTTTGGTCGCAGGCAGACGCGTAAAGCAGTCGCCGAGAGGGGGTCCGGGGCGCGACGGTGGGGATACTTTTTTGATGGACGGCTCCAAGGAAAAGTCCAGGAAGCGGGGCGGGCGCGGCTGGGGCACAGGGCGAGATAATTGGTTACGAAAGCGCCTAGGCCGACGCAACAGGTGCACCTGCAAGAGGCAATATGCCCATATGCCCCTCATTGAGATGCGAGCGACCCGGGAACGGGGACGCAAGCACCAGACAAAGTCACGACGGGACATTTTGCGCTAGTTTCGGCCTCTGGGGGCCCTCGCTGGGCCTTGGGGTCGTGGAAAAACGACTCAGGATGCGGAGCCTTTCCCGGGGAAGGGGTCCGGACCTCAGGGGGCCGCGTCATGAAAAAATCATGGCGTCGGGGGTCTGGGGAGAGAGACACCTACGCTGTGAGCTTTTGACCCAGTGTCTCTTCCTCGCTAGTTGACTATATGTGCGTGTCTCTTCCTCCCTCCCCCCGTCAACTCTCATGGGCATCGTTTCTGGATGGGGGGAGAAGGCTGCGCCAGGGCGGCCCAGGGGCAGCAAAGCGTCAAGAATTCTAGAGAGAGAGAGAGAGATACGCGAAGCGTCAAGAATTGCTTGAAAGAGAGAGAGAGAGATAGAAAAAAAAAAAAAGAGAGAGACCTCCGCTGGGAGTTGTTTGCCCAGTGCGCTGGACCTCTGGGAACCCAGACCCCCTCGAGTCATGAAAAAGTCACGACGGGGCGTTTTTCGCTATTGTCGGCCTCTGGGGGCTTAAGCAGGTTCGTGTCGTGCCGACTTCGGCGTTGGTTTGAGACGCCGCAAGGATCGTTCAACCTTGAACGTTCAAGGTTGAGCGATCAAGAAGGAACGTTCAAGGTGGAACGTTCAACCTTGATGTTTCGGAAACGGCCTATCGTTAACGATAGACCGTTTCCGAAACATCAGATCGTTCAAGGTCGACCGAGTCTGGATCGCCAGAGACGTTCAACGTTGCACGCCAGCGGCAGGGTCGCCGCCAGTCGACACGACGCGAACCGACCGCACCTACCAGGCCACCCCAACCTAACCCGAAGATCCTGAGATGCTGGCGATGCAACTGTTTTTCGCAACGGGCGTTTTCGCTCCATTTCGGGCCCCAGGACCCTCACAGATCTGTCCGGCTCGAGAAATGGCGCAGAAAGATGGGGTCCAGGGCTCCGGTCGTGATTTTGTTCGCAATGCCGGGTCTCAGGGTTTGAGGGGGGCACAGCCCATCCCGTATCATAAGGATGCGCGGCAAGGATGCAAGGACCTGAAGGCCATGTCGACGAACTGCGGGCGTGGGCGCGGCCAGCGAAAGCGGCCAAGGGTGGGCCGAAGGGGAAGGATGCGAGGGTACCCTTGGCAAATCGCTCATCCTTACCATGCAGGTTGACTGTATGGGTTCCATCTGTCTTTTTAATGTTCGGGGAATCCGCCCACACTGGGAATCGAGGGCAAACCAGGGCCTTTGGGTCAACCCAGATGCGGTGGTCTGTTGGGTGGTCGCTGAGATCCGACTTTGCGAAAAAATTGCACCATCGAAAAAAAACACGACCGGAGCTCCAGACCCCATCTCGCTGCGCTATTTTCCGAGCCGGCTCGATCTGTGAGGGTCCCGAGGCCCGACATGGAGCGAAAACACAAGTTGTGAACAAAAGTGAGGAACGTCCGAAAACTTCCGAAAAGCGGCGACGGCGGCGACTTCTCCCAGGATCGCCTGGGCTGGTTGGCCGCCCCGGGTGCAAGACGGGCCCCAGAGGCCGAAAAATTACGGAGAGAACCGCCCGGATCAAAAAGCACGTGCCGTCGGAGACCTGCGCTCGCTATCGGCCGGACGAAGAAAACACCCGAAAACCGCCGAGCGCCGAGCGGCCGCGGCGGCTTCGTGCACTGATCGCTTGGTGTCCCGGGCTGAACCCTGGGCCGCGCTCGCCACCGAGACCAGCAGGAACCCATCCAGTGGTACGCTTAGGTCGGGCGTGTCCTCCGAAAGGCCGATCTTGGACGAAAATCAAAAATAGTCACAAAACAAATGTTTTAAAAACATGACCAAACATACTCAAAACATCGCCCCCCGACTATTCCTTACTGTTTTGAAATAAATAATCCTCCTGCAGAGGGACAGGCCCGACTTACTGGTACGCCGGAGCGCCGTCCTGTGCGGGGTGGCGCTCGGGCGTGCCAACGCCCAGGGGTCGGCGGTGGTCCACGCTTCCCCTCTGCACTCCCAGGACCCCCGACGTCATGACTTTTTCATAAGGCGTCGACCCCCAGAGGAAGCCTCGCCCCGTATCCCGAAACCGACTCTTCATCCCCAGGCGTTCTCTGCAAAGGTCCCGAGGCCCGGTCAGGGCCCCCAGAGGACGGACTTTACGATTCTTGTCATGATTCGAAGGTTTCGATCCCACCGAAGTGATCGCCAGCTCCCCAGCTCGTCCCCGGGCCGTGCTCGCGCCCGCTGCCGGCGCCACCGGCCAGGGGTCGGCCCCCTACCCAGACCCCCGACGTCATAATTTTTTCATGACGCGACCCCCAGAGGTCTCGACCCATTCCCCAGGACAGGTTTCTCGTCCGGAGTCGTTTTTTGACGCCCCCGAGGGCCGGTAAGGGCCCCCAAAGGCCGAAAATAGCAAAACACCTCCAGTCGTGATTTTTGTCATGACTGGAGGAGGCCTGGGTATACCTTCGGTTCTCGGTGGCGGTGGTCCAGGCTTCCTCCGCCATGGCGCTCCTCTCTGTGGGCCCGCCGAGCGGTGCCCGCTCCCCCCCCCGCCTCCTCCTCCTGCTCCTCCTCCTCCTCCTCCTCCTCCTCCTCCTCCTTCTCCTCCTCCTCCTCCTCCTCCGCCTCCTCCTCCTCCTCCGCCTCCTCCTGCTCCTCCTGGAGCCAGGGCGCCGGCGATCCGCTCGGCACGCTCGAGGTGCAGAGGGGGGAGGCTCTCGCTCGCTCTGCCACGCTCGCTCGAGGCCGCTCTCTGGGCCGTGGCCGCTGGAGGAGGAGGCGGAGGAGGAGGAGGAGGAGGAGGAGGAGGAGGAGGAGGCGGAGGCGGAGGAGGAGGAGGCGGAGGCGGAGGAGGAGGAGGAGGAGAGACGGAGGCGGAGGAGGAGGAGGGAGAGAGGCAGGGAGGGAGGGAGGAGGGAGGAGGAGGAGGAGGGAGGGAGGAGGAGAGCAGGAGGAGGAGAGGGAAGGAGGAGCCGGAAGAGGCGGCTTCCTCCCCGCCTGCGCCGGCCCCCGGGCTCGAGGGCGCCGGGCCGCGCGCGCCCGCGGCCGGCGCCGCCTCCCGCGCGCCGGGCGCGGCGGCCAGGGCGCGCGCCGCCGCCTCGTGCGCGCCGGGGGCCTGCGCGGCCGGGGCGCTGCGGAAGGGGCGCGCGCCCTCCCGGCGGGAGGGCGTGCCACAGCGCCCTCCCAGGACGTGCTCGCGTGGTGAACAAGCTGGAGATCCGACGTTGCGAAAGCATTGTAACCCAGACCCCCGACGTCGTGATTTTTTCGGGACGCGACCCCCGCAAGTCCGGACTCGCTGCCCAGGACCGGCTTTTCATCCCGAGTCGTTGTTTGACGTGCTCGCGTCGTGAACGCCTCCACCGTACACCATTACCCACGCAGTATGGCCAACAAGCGTCCGCCGCCGAGCATGCGCTGTAAGATGTCTGAGCGCGCGCGTCGGTTAGGTCGGGCATGTCCCCCTACAGGCCGCTTTGAGACCGGGTTGAGAACGTTTTCATGACGCGACCCCTGCAAATCTGGACCCACTGCCCAAGACCGGTTTTTCGTCCTGAGTCGTTTTTTTGACGGTCCCGAGGCCGGGTGAGGGCCCCCAGAGGCCGAAAATAGCGAGAAAGCTCCCGTCGCGATTTTTTCACAACGCGAGGGGGTCTGGGAACATCGCGAGAAATCACCAGCACCGATGCAGAGTTTCACCTCCCAGGAGTTGCATCCCAGTCGGGGGGCCTGCTCAGGCCATAGCTGGGACTGCCCAGCGGTAATGGGGATATGCGAGACCCAGACCCGCGAGCTCATGACTTTTTCATGAAGCGACCCCCAGAGGTCCGGACCCGTTCCCCGGGACCCGTTTTTCAACCTGAGTGGTTCTTTGACGGTCCCGAGGCCCAGGTAGGGCCCTTCCAATGTAAAAAAAAAAGCAAAAAAACAAAAACAAAAAAAAAACAAAAAAAAAAAAAAAAACGTGAGTTTTGTTTACAACGCGAGGGGGTCTGGGGACGATGCTGACCCCAAGGAGCGGGCGACAGCTGCAGACACCTCCGCCACGCCTCCCAGGCCCCCTCGCGCCGTCACGAAGGTCACGACGGGCGGTTTTGGGGCTGTCCTGGGGCCCTCACTGGGCCCCTGGATCGGCTCTTCATCCCCAGTCAACTCGGGATGAAAGACTGGTCCAAGGGAACGGGTCGAGACCACTAGGGATCGACGCTGTGAGAAATCACATCGTCGAATCCTGGGTCCACCTCGCCAGAGGGGGGACGATCAGGGAGGACCAGCCCGAGGGGAAACCATCGGGCTCGAGTCGGCGATACGTCGCCGACAGGTCGGCGACAGGCCCCCGATGGCGAGACCCCACGCTCCTGGGCGGGGCGAGCCGCGGGGACCGCGGGGTCGATGCTTCCCCCCGACGAGGCCGTCCCCTCCTGTCGCTGCCCCCGAGCGCTGCAGGCGGCCGCTCGGAGAGATCCAATCCAGGCGTCCCCGAAGCGCCGCTCGGCGATGCGCGGCTGATGGAAACCATGCCCCAAAAAATCTCCGCAAAGATCGGGCGGCCTTCGAAGCATCCCAGGGCGCCCGCCGCCTTGGTTTTTGTCAAGACGCCGCCCCTGGAAGTCGGAAGTCCCGACCTTGTTACCCGGGGCCAGTCTTCCGTCCCGAGCCGTCAACTTGGTGGTCGCGGGGACCAGCGAGGGTCCGCAGAGACCGAAGACTGCGAGGAAGCTCCGGCGTAATGTTTCAATGCGTTGGAGGCTTGGGAACGTCCGAAAAAACATTCGAAAGGCGGCGGCGGCTTCCTCCACGGATTTGCGCGCCCGAAACAGGCACGGACAAATCAAGCACGATGCCTGGCAGCGAATGTTCCCCAATGCCGACAAGAGCCGCTGTCGGCCAGGCGGCCTCGCCGTCTCAGATGGACAACGTCCATGGCGACGCCGACTGCGAGCCCCTCTCAAAATGGGCAGGACCTGCCTGCTGTCAGCCCTGGTGGCCTGATCTGTCTATCGGGCTGGAGGCCTCTTGTCCGCAACCGCCCCGTTGCGCGGCACGCAACCCGCGGCGGGTTGCCACGGAGCTCAACACGCAGATTGACAACGTACGCTCGGCGCGGTACGCTCGCCCAAAACCGTGGGCCGACACGCTGAGCCGACACGCAGCGTGCTGACACGGTCTCTTTGAACACGGTGCGCGCCGCGCGTCAAAACAATCGTACACGGTGTTTTTCGTTGTCGTTTTGTTCTCCTTTTCCCTCGCTTTTATCGTCAATCCGCTTTTGCTGCAAGACGACGTCGAAACGAAAACGGTCCACGGAATCGCCCAAACACCGTTCCGGTCCAGCCCTGAGGCGCACCAAAGCAGCTATAGGCTCTGGTCCGCTCGCTCGCTCGCTCGCCGCGCGCGCGGGCCCAAGCCTCGGCATCCTCGCCGCCGTCGTCGGCGGGCAGGGCCGCGTATGCCTTCCCTGGAGCCGGCGCCGGCGAGGCCATCGCCCGCCCTCACGGCCCGCGGCTGCAGCCCGACGGCATCCGCCGGGGAGGGGGGGGGGAGGAGAGAGAGCCAGGAGGAGAGCGGAGGGGGAAGGGCGGAGGAGGAGGAGGAGGAGGAGAAGGAGGAGGAGGAGGAGGAGGAGGAGGACCTGGAGGGAGAGGAGGGAGGGAGGGAGCGAGGAGGAGGGGAGGCGAAGAGAGAGGGAGAGGAGGAGGAGGAGGAGGTGGACGAGGACGAAGAGATGCTGAACCAAACAGGCCCTGCAACAAAAAGTCAGGACGGGGACGCCCCCCGTGGCCCCGGCCCGCGCCCCGGCGCGCAGAGCCGCCTCGCAGGAACACCCCGCCTATTGCCGCCCCGCGTCAACCCGAAGGCCGCGGGGTACAAAGCAAAGCGGGGCGATGACCAGATGTCTGAGAGGGATCCGCTGGGCCGAGGCCCTTGGCCGCCTGGGCCCTCTGCGCTTAGCCGCAGTGAAGCCCCCGGGCATGCGACGTCCTGATTTTTTCAGGGCGGCGTCCCCGGAAGCCTGGACCCCTTCCCCAGGACCGGCTTTCCATCCTGAGTTGTTCTTTGACGCTCCCGAAGCCCGACGAGGGCCTGGGCCCGAAAATCGTCGAAAAAACGCCCGTCCTGATTTCTTCACGACGCGATCATGTCTGGGGCGGCTCTGGCCTCTGGGGCCTTCGACCCCAACTGCTGCGCTTGGGCCAGCTGGAGCCCGAAGGATTGCCAAACGTCGAGGGCACTCGGCCTCGCCCATTGGGAAAGATGTCCAATCCAGAAGATGTTCCGAAGGCGATCTAAGGCTACCAAGCAGCCCGTGTTTCGCGCCCCTGGGGTGCTTGATACGCTTGATAATGGCGCTGCGATTCACGATGGCGTTGGGGAGCGAGCCTCCTGGACGATCGCCCTTGAGGCCTCGGCCCTTCCTGTCCAAAACATATCCTCCACGCGTGGAGCGAAAGAGAAGGATGGAACTGGACGCGGCGGCCATTCTTTCACTCAGTGGCGAAGCACGGCGCCGCGAGCAAAGCGCGCCCGCGAACGCGCCGCGGCCCGAGGGCGCTGCCGGGCCCGGCGATCCTCTAGCCCCAGTCAGCGCAGAGGAAGCTGACCGCAGGGCCGCCGTCTCCGTCGTGAGACTCGTCAGCGGGCCACTCACCCATATCAAATGAATTTGAGCGCCCCGACCTCCACTGAGCCATTGCGCCCAGACTGGGCAATGCGGATCTACTGCAGGGCCGTGCGCTGCGCCGCCTGGCGGGCGATGGCCCAGCAGCCCCCGAGCGCCTCGACGTCGGCCGGGCGCGCCCCCCCCAGCGGCCATCGCGCCCCCCTCGGCACGCCTGCGCGCGCGACTGTTGCCTTCCAGCTCGAACTGCGTGACCCGGCCGATGCGCGCGGACGCCCGGCCCGGGCCGGCCTGCACAAAGACCGCCCTGGCCCCGGAGGAGCTGGTCAGCCCCCCCAGCCCAGGCGCGGGCCATCTGATTCCCAGAGGAGGCCGCAGCCCCAGAACAGGCCGCGCAGCGCAAGGCGGCCTGCAGGCAGTCGATGCACAGGCGGCAGGCGCCTCCAGCCACGGTGTCCGCGAGCACCTGCACAGCGCAGTCCTCGCCGCCTCTGGCCAGCTGCCAGAGCCCGTCGCTGAGCGGGAACGCCCCCCGGGCCTCGGCGATCAGCCTGCGCCCCGCCTCGTAGACCACGACAATCCAGCCCGCTGCGCGCAGGTTGGGGTCGGACTGGCACCCGCGCGATCCGTCCACGAAGATGCGCCCCCATTTCAGGTAGGGGCCGAGCGGTAGCCAGCTGGTGGAGCACTGGAAGAAGTCGCCCACTGGCCGCGTCGGCCGCTGAAATAGCTCAGATACGTCGGGGAAAAGCCCCCTGGCGAACATGCCCGCGAAGGGGCAGCCCAGGCCCTCGACTGCATATGGGCGGCCTACTTCAGCGAGGGTTCAAGGGGCTCGCGCCCCCCTCCGTCGCGGACCTCGCACATCATGCGCCCGCGGTAGAGGGGGCCGCCCTCGTCGCCGCGCAGTTGGCAGTTGGTCGGGACCGAGGGGCCCGCCGCTCCAGGAGATGTTCTGGACCGAGCAGCGCGGCGCCCGCTGGCGGCGCGCGCTCCAAACCGTCGAGCAGCGGCCCCCGAGGTCCAGGATCGGCCGTCAGAAAGGAGGGACACTCCAGACCCGCATGGGCGACCGCCAGATTCGTCGACGGCTGGTTTCGCCTGGCCGGCCCCGCCCGGCCGGTTTCGCCCGGCCGGTTTCGCCGCCCGGCGAAGCCAGACCAGCGAAACCGGCTGCCGCCAGCGAAGCCACGAGCTGCCATCGGCGAAACTGGCCGCCGCCGGCGATACTCCCCGACCCGACCCGCTCGCCAGGGCCCGCCCGCCCGACCCGACCCACCCACTAGGGTTCGCGCGCGTTCGGCCGAGCGCCCCCCGCCCGCCCGACCCGACCCGCCCGATGGCCTGCCCGCCCGGCCCGACCCGCCCGCCAGGGCTCGCGCGCTTGGTCAAGCGCGCCCCGCACTTCAACGCCCCGCCCCACCGACCCGATTCGAGCGTTAGGCTCGCCCGCCCGACCCAACCCGCCCCGCCCGTCAGGGCCCGCCCGCCCGACG